ATTACCCAAGAGTTGTAATTATGCACCAGCGCATAGAGGAATCCTGTAGGAGAAAGAGGTGGACGTAAGTCAAGGAGAAGAGATAGTGGGCCAGATGGAAGGGCCAAGGTGATGGTTTTCTGGTCATGCCTGTATGTATTTCCATAGTTACATCTTTAATTTAATGACTGAAGAAAGACACAATTTCTGTTGCGGACTTTTCAGTGTGATTCAGATGTGACCCAGACTGGTACAATTTGACTTGTTCAGAATTCAAGAAAGCAATTACATAGTAATAATTGTGTGCTGTCAATTCAAATTCGACTCTTTCCAGGGTTTTTAGGTAAACAATCTTCAGAAGGGGTATACCATTCCCTTTTTCTGGGAGTTCCCTAGGACTGCATAGCTTGCCCATGGCTACACAGGCTGGCTCGCATCCCAAGAGGCAAAGTGGGGAATCAAACTCCCAACCTCTGGCTCCACAGTCAGATACCTAAAACACTGAATTATCCAGCTAGCAAGCAGTTACATTGCCCTAGTATTTGTTGGTATCTGATCAGTGGAGTGGGCAGTAAGATGTTCACTTGAAATAAACTGAGAAAAGAAAATGATCCCAAGAATAGTTACATCTGTTGTCAGAGCTAAGTGTCATCTCCATTACATTAGCTGAAGGAGAACCACTTACATTTTACAGAATCTGTGTTTCTATTCAAAAGTTGGTTTTGCTGGTAATCCACAGGGAATGAATCAGAAGAGTGGAGCATGTAGCATAATAAATAGCTGGATGAATTTTGCACTCAGAAGTTTTAATTAAAGACAAATTACTCTATATTTCTCTAGGGCTTTTGGCAGTGAAAGGGAGATGTCCATACATATAATTAATCTAGCTTTTGCTTTCCACCATTCTTGTCAAGAAAAGGAAGCAGGAATATACCTAGAAAAAGCACATTTTGAAAGTGGGTGGGATTTAGCAGGGATTTTCTCTCAATGTTTTAAAAGCTGGTATGGTAGTTGGTATAGCAGTTCAAAAGCATGAAAATATGTGAGTAGATAAATAGGTACCACCTCGGGGGGAAGGCAACGGCGTTCCTTGTCTAGTCGCGCTGGCCACGTGACCACAGAAACTGTCTACGGACAAACGCTGGCTCTATGGCTTGGAAATGGGGATGAGCATCGCCCCCTAGAGTCGGACACAATGGGACTAAATGTCAAGGGGAACCTATACCTTTACCTTTATGGTGGTTGGGGATGGACAAAAAGTCAGGTGGCTCTTTGGGAGTTTTTAATGTGTTCCTAATGTCATTCTGATAAAGACATTTGGGAATTCCAAAGATACGTATGGCAGAACAAAAACAATGTAGAGCTTGGGAAAGCTACTGTAGTGATTTTACGCTGCATATATGTTTTGTGTATAGGTTTGTGTCGGTTTGCAAGTGAAGTGCGAAGGTTGGTTGATGGTTGTTTGTGGGATGTATGCCAGGAGTAACAGTTAAGAAATGCGAAATAATGTTTTAAAATAGAAATGCAAGCTGCCTGGTCTGTATGGCTCCCGGCTGCAGAGGTTCCATTTTGTATATAAGAAATGTGTGTTAGAATTGTGAGTCAGTCAGCGCTGTCAGTCAGAGTTCAGGAGTTAGAATTATATAAGTCTGTTTGTGAAGAGGTTGTGAATAAAATTGTGGTCTTGTTATATTTTTGTCAGAGTAAGTACGTATCTATCTAAGGAATAGTAAGTATGCAAACTTCAAAATTATAAAGAAGAAAATAAAAAGATTATATACCATATAATTATATACCGTATTTTTCGCTCTATAAGACGCACCTTTCCATAAGACGCACCGATTTTTTTAGGAGAAGAAAACAGGAAAATATAATCTGTTTTCTTCGCTCCATAAGATGCACAGACTTTCCACCCCCCTGTTTTGTGGGAAAAAAGTGAGTCTTATGGTGCAAAAAATACAGTATATAGGTTATATACCATAGAATCTGACAGTTTCGGTTTTTACCTGTTTGTGGATTTTTTTTAAAAAAACTTTTTTTAAAACATTAAAGTTTTATGTGTTTACAAATCCTGTTTATTATGTTATAGATAGCAACTATATGATGTTAGACTCATGTAAACTGCTGGTCAGGGCTGGAGCACACTGTTTATGCAGTGTTATCAAATTACGCCCTATATTTTTACCCGGCAGTTCAGGTCCCTTCTGGTTGTGCAGTTCTAACTTAGCTGTGGCAAAGTTATAGCATCAGTGAGTGTAAAAGGGAACCCAGGCTCTTTGCCTAGATTAGTTATTGATAGGGATAATCCAAGGGAAGGAGTTCCTGTCTGCAAATTTAAACAGCAACTCCAACTTTAGTGCAAGGGTTTGGGGGTGCTTGATGTCACAAACTGGCAGAGAAGGCATTTGAACACAGCAGCAGCTTTTGGGGACCAAAATTCCCCGGGCCATCCTAGTTGGGAAATGTTTGTGTTCAGTCTGAAAACTCTTCTAAGGTCTGAATATTGCATTGTGTCTTCACCTCTTAAGAAGAGTCCTTCTATTGGTCAGGATGCTGTAAGTGGCTAACACAGGCCACTCATGCTTTCTTTAGTTGCCTGTTTTATTTTCTTCCTGAGAGTCAACATTCTATGGATCCTGAGCATCCTCAGTTCTCGGTTTTCACCATCTTAGGTGTTTATTTTTTTCAACTGAACTTCTGAAAACCTTAGTTTTTGAACCTGTGTTGTTTATATGTTTAGGCTTCTTTCCAAAGTGCTTTAAAAAAAAGAGCAGCTCACAGACTTTTTTGGGTCCATCTCTGTTGACTTGTCAACTCAGGTTTAACATTGCCCTGCTTGTTACTGTTTCCACAAAGCTACAGGGCAGAGCCATGATTTGCCATAGATTAAACCAGTGGTTCTTAATGTGGGCAATAATGCCCCCCAGGGGGCGATTTCATTTTTCAGGGGCGCGGTA